GCTTCACAATTGCCCGCTCTTAGACTTCCAATCTAAGACCCCATTCCCAGAGGTTAGTTCGATCCAACTAGATCGACCTAACTCCCTGGGGTTTCACGCTAAATAGCTCCTAGCCGAGCGGGCACGAAATTTTATTACCCCTTTACAGTTTGTAGTAAGGGGTAATTTAATTTAAGCCGGATTATCTGACAGTTTTCTAGTGAGACTCCCCACGGGGATAGATCGATCTAAAATCTATGGGAATGCGCCCTAAGGATTGTCGGCTAGGGGCGCTGCTGTCGTCAGCATCCTGTCAGTTTGAACGCGGGGGTGTCGTATGAGAATGAGACCCAAATTTCATTATTGCATTGTATATACACCTACGTTTGAAATGCATTCAGCGGTTTCATACCTAAACTTTTTTGTTTAAACAGAAAAAAATGCGCATTTACCTCGGAGGGCAGAATCAATGTACGGCTATAATAGTTTTTGGAGGGAAACCACGCATGCCTCTCCCCCAATTATTATTGACAGTGTACGTGCATCTTGGTGACATGATGTCAACCTGAAGTTTATAAACCTGCCCCAGGCCATCATTGGACGACCTTGTCCGCTTACACTGGAACGCTTATTTACAATATACACTGATCCACAATGCACTTTGAAGAAACTTTCATTTCATTTCTTGTTTCACAGATGATGATAATAAAGATAAAGTGATAATACATTTTAGCTATAAATATTTATGTGGAGTTGTTCAGTTTTTTGGTAGCATTAATTTTCGAAGGAGAAAGGATAACGAAAGGATAATATACTTGGTGTGATCAGGGAATTATATCCGATATAATTCCCTGGTGTGATTTAATGTTTTAGTCACTTTTTACATTTGCTTAAATATTTTAACTGCTTCTTATATTTGCTTGAAAGAATATGGCATGCAGGGCTCCATAGTCCCCCTTTTCACTGTTCAGAACTGGCATGGTTTAAAAAAACTTTTGTGTGTGTTTGGGGGGCGGGGGAGGTAGGGAGTTACCTCCCTCAGCTCCTGTGATCTTTTATATTGTTTAATTACCCAAATTAACAGTCTGTAGATGGTAAGGGGGTGGCGAACCCCAGAAGAAGATTGTTTGCTCAGGGCCACATGACCTACGTACACGGAGGTTACATATGGTAAAAAGTCAACTGATAGAAAAAAACGTCACGTTTTGAATATCTACATCTACTACAATTACCCAAATGGTCTTTTATTTAAAATAAGATTAACAAAAAGCTTGGACCTAACTCTATTTAGGTCCATGCAAAAAGCATACAACCATTTAATGAAGAGGACATTATCAGACTGAGTCTCTAATAACTAAAATGAAAAAGTATACTTTTAGCTGAAGATAGAGTTAAACAATGTGCCTCAACGGGTTCAGGGGTTGGGGTGAGAAGTAAAAAAAAGTAGATAGCCAAAATGATGAAATAACTTTAACATGAAATTACACAGCTTATACGAAGCATATTTTTCTGATTGGCGTGGAGTACGTTTTCTTTTTTACAGCATGGAATTTAATAATGTAAGCGATATTTAGACTACCTGTTCAATACCTGCTAGAGATAGGCCTATGCAGCAAGAAAACAAAGCGGGGACATCGTGGGATATGGTGGCCAGACCATGGACAGACGGCAGAAAGTTACAGGTGGTGCCCCCTCTGAAAATGGAGGTAAGGCCAATGATCTGAGAAATTAAGTATTGGACATGTACCGTAATTACTTTTCGATTTCAATGGTGCAATGTGCGCAGAATAGGTGATTTTGCTACTTAAATATGAAGCCTGTTTAATTATGTCAATCTATGGCAAATAACGGGGGATTGTGAAAAATGGGTAATTGAAGGTCTGATCATTCCCCTTCTTCTACCCCCTTACCCTCAATAGACAAAAAACTATGAAAACAAACATTTTAGACGATACATATTAATATTCTTATTATATGTTAACTCTTCGTTTTGGCCAAAAAATGAATTTTCCTGGCGTAAACAACAATTTTCCCATACTTCGCAATGGTTAATGAATCCATTTTTACATTCAAAGTTAGCCCTTGATTTTTTCTAATTTTTTTCTTTTTTTTTTTTTTTTTTTTTTTTTTATAATCTCTTGAGAGATTATAACAGAGTATAGCCATCAGTGGAGGTCACGTGGTCTAAAGACAAGCTCAGATATCAGAATAATAGCTAAAATTGCCGTTTTTGTGGTACAACAGAATATATTGTATTTCTATGAGTTGTTCACAATGTTTTTATTGTGAAATATAGATCTCATACGAAGAGTTATTATCCCTTTAAAGATAAATTTCCTAAATTGATGGGTTTCAGGGGTGGATCCAGGATTATTAGAAGGGGGGTCCGGAACGACAGACCTCGAACGCGAAGCCAATCATCGCCCCCTAGGCGTGGGGTTCATTGCCTGTTCAAGGGCCCCGAAAAAATTTTGATGTTTTTGAGGGCAGACGGTGCCCTTTGGTATGTTTAAGAACTATGATTCAGCTAGTCGAAATTTTTTTCAAGAGGGGAATATTGGTGTGATATATTTTTCAGAAACCGAAGGGGGAGGGGTCAGGACCACCCAGTTACATGTAAAACATATTTGCTCTTTATCTTTGTTTAATACATAACTGCTTTTGAATAATAATAGAAAATAGTTATCTTAACAGAGCTGTTACATAAACAAATGCTATAATATTCTATTTACTAATTGTTTTGTTTTTTATGAAAAAATGTCTTATTCTAAGTTTCTTTTTTTTCTGTGAGCACAGTGTGTTGCTATATTTGTATAAAATATAATTTTGATGTATGTTTATTAAAACTGAAACATACGGGGAATTTATTAAAATATTAATGACTCGTGTAATTTATCTTTTTGGGGTGAAAATAGGCCTAAGTCTGCAATTTTGCCACAAAGCGATTGTAATTTAGCATTAAATGAATCAATATATTATAAATGTATAGTTAATAATTAAGTCATTAAATCAACGATGCAAGACTTAGATATTTTCCTTATTAAAGATTTATGTAGCATTCTCGATTGAAAGACCAAATCTGAGATGATCTCTAATGGACTAACTCCCATAGGTTAAGTTCTCTGCCAGAAAAGTGTCCATTATAAGGAAGCAGTGATAATTATGCAGGTAAATATTGTTTAATATTGCAAATAAGTTTTTTAAAAAAATTATTTTGTGTAATGCCAACATTAATGCTATAGATGAATAACAGTGCCTTAACTATTCTCAAACTCAATCGGGTTATTCATATCATGTTAATACAGCAAGATTGAAAGTTTGAATAGCGGCTTTATTGGAATTTTTTTTTTCAAACACTGGCATTTTCAAGATGTGACTTTTAACTGCCATCCATTTGAACCTCTGCACATTTTCTGTATTTCCACATAAGCAGTTGTATTGGTATTTGTGTCTTTAAACATTATGTTATATTATTTTTTGCACTGTCATCATTTTTCAGAAATTGTGATTTTCATTATTTGAATTTGAACTCTCGTGGTCCTGAAACTGTAATCTTATTGCAGGGGCGGATTGAGACCGTCTTCTGGGCGTTCTGGAAGACGGTCAGATTTTAATGTTTACATTGACGGGTATCATCAAGAAGACCATCAAAAATGGAGGATGGATCAAGAAAGATTATTTGGAATAATGTCAGAAAATATCTCTCCTGTTCACTCCTGTTATTGTCCATGTTATCTGTTGTTCATGATTAAAATTCAGTGTTGATTGACAGCATTATTTAGTATTGCATCAAAACTGACAAAATGACCCCTTTTCTGCATCTTTATTTTGTTTTTTGTCTGAACATTTGACAGCTTTGCTGCCTTGTTTTCAAAATCTGAAAGAAATGCCTCCTCAATAACCAAGAGTTCCTGTAGTTTTATACCTTAATTAGATTCTCATTTTCAAATCTCTGTCATACTGCAATATTCATTCTAACATCTGTGTGCAAGGGTCTAATCTATGAGGAGGGTACTGGAGTTCAATATAACAGGTCTCTACTCAAAAAGCCCAACCTAAACATCATTGATGTGTTCACAAAGAATTGTAGAACTGGTCTTGATGAGCTGTTAGTCTCATTTAGATGTTTTTTTTTTTAATATCTGGTGCCATGCTTCAAGATTCATGGCAATATTTAATGGGATAACAACTCTTTGTGTGAGATCTATATTTTACAATAAATATATTGTAAACAACTCATAGAAATATATTCTATTTTACTACAAAAACAGCAATTATAGCAATAAATATGAAATCTGTGCTTGCCATCCGACCACATGACCTCCATAGATGGCTATACTCTGTAATAATCTCTTAAGAGATTATTACAAAATAAAAATAAATAAATAAATAAATAAAAACAATTTAAAAAATTTTTTAAGAAACTCTTTTTAGAAAAAAAAAAAAAAACAGGGACTAACTTTGAATGTAGAAATGGATTCATTAGCCATTGGTAAGTATGGGAAAATTGCTGTTCACCCTAGGAAAATTCATTTTTCGGCCAAAATGAACAGTTGTTATCCCTTTAAAATCTGCTACGCTAAAAATTATTTGATGTTAAATTTCTTTGGGGCAATTCACAATAATGCATAGCACTTAATTTTATCTCACCCTCCCAAAATCTTTAAAAACCTGTCTATACCATGTATATATCCCCTGTAAATTGATCAGTCTTTGCTGGCATATGCAAAAACTGTGCACACATTCATGATAAAGACGGATAGTCTTATTGCTCTGATGACATACAGCTGATGGACAGTTAGACTTGTATTAGCTCTGGTGGCGGTCAGAGGTTTGAGATGTTATTTAGAATCATCTTCCGCTCAAGGTGCCATGAGCTTAACTATGTGGAAGCTTGACTGTTGATGAGTCCTTGTCACACTTCACTCTGCATATATGGGAAAACACTGATTCAGAAATGCTCATTCTTTTTTTAATGTAAAAAAGTAATAACAACAACTCTTCTTATTAAATTTTTTCAGTATTATTTTAAGAAACTTAAAGATATTATAGCATGATCATTTACTTTCAGCTTTTTTTACAAAACGGCCATGTAAAGTCCACTACATGAATATTAGTAAACATTGACGTCAATTTTTTTTTAATGCAAAACATGGCATTAATTCAACTGAAAGACCAGGAAGCTTCTTTCTCAATTCAAACTTAGTGAGAGCATACTGTTCACTTCCTATTCCCACGGGTCATCCACAAACCTCTATTAATATTTATCTGTCCAAATCATGTACTTTAACAAGATAACATTAACATATGCAGAACAGGAAGAATGCATTCTCCAGAGTTCACTGCAGGCTTTCAATGAAAATGTTTACAACAAAGTTAACAGAATAGTTTAAGCTTATGGTGTTTCTTTCCAACAGCATGTTATATCAGTAAGCATGCACAAAGTTGGGGTGGTTTTAAAAACAAGCTAACTGCTGTTCACTTGGATGAGAACAAACTGAACAGCCAACACTATTTTGACAATGTTAAATTCATTATTTTTACTAATGGTATTTCTTTTTTCAGTTTGCTCTATCTTTTCTTTGCATAGTGTGTCCATATACTGTCATTCTAGCGTCTTCAGTGGGTTATCAAATTATGAGCAATAGGAAATCTACTTCATGGCTCACTGTTTGTTCCAGCGTGTATTGAGCACCCACTTTGAACAAAAGATAGTCACACAATGAGGCAAAGCAGTTCCTATTCAAAATCCACTGCATCAGTGATGAATGGAGAACATGTTAATTTTAGTGTGTCATACCTATGCCATTTTGTTTACTACTGCTTGGTGTAATGATTGCAATTGTTCTGTCCATTTGTCCAGTGCACTATAACGCGCTGTCCCTTGTGCTTCGCGACTCAGTTCAAGCACTTGATTCACTTGATCTATCCTTCCATGAATTGTACTGAAAAAAAAAAAATACCTATTACTAGTTAGGAAAATAAACATTAGAATATATAAAACTGACAATGAGTTTTGCCAAATTAAAGTTTGTACTCACTCTATTTTCAATGCCCAAAATGAGATTTTTCTGCAATTTGCCATATTAATGTTACAAACCCAAAAACTCTGCCCACTTTACAAATATAATAATAAATATGAGGCTCTGATGGGTTTATCCTTAATTTTCAAGAATTTGTTGGCTATCAATGAACATTGTAAAAATGTGACATCATTTTGTGAAACTAACCAAAACTAGAAATAATTCTATATAAACTACATAACCATCAACATTGTCTATATATGAAAGGGATTGTTAAAAGATGGAATAAAACAGAACTTTATTTAAAGTGCACAAAACATGAGTAAATGTTTTTTTCTTCTTTTTTTTACCTGTCTAAAATACATGATACTAAAAGGTTTTCCACTTCAGTCACATCTATGTTGAGTTCTTTGGAAATAAACGGAATATGGATCCTTGTGTATGGTTTGATGAGCTTGATCAGCACCTGAGTTCGGATATTTCGCAGTAAATCTGAAAATTAAACAAAGCTTTACTCTACCAAGTAACCTCACTTCAGACGAATTTTACAAAATACTAAACAGTTAGAAGTTCTTATTTAGATGTGTTTGTAAAGACCTTTTCACTTATGACCATTTGAATTTTATCAGCCTTGGAACTCGACTCCCAAGTTGTTTCCACATATCACTGTCTGCCTTGTGAAAAAATGTACTGCTATTAGTTCACTTATATTAACATACATCCTAACCAAACTAAACTTAAACCTTACCTTCTATGTGTTCTCGAATGAATGGATCTTCCATGATATTTTTCCTATTTGTTTTCAGAATCTTCTCAAATTCATTTATATCATTATTCTGGTATGCACTACAACAAAAATAACAAATATTTTCTTTAAGCATCTCTACAGTACACACTGATAAACAACCCCGCCCCCTCAACTTTTGCATAATTCTCCATCTTTAGCTAATTCATCAACAAAAAAATAAAAAAAATTCCACCCACCAACTATGCAATCCATTTTCCACTTCCAAATATTCCAGAGAAACATAATCATTACGTACCTCACTAAATTAGTCATAGCTAAAATTTCTGGGTCATTCTTGTAAGGTTTTGCCTCCTGTGAGTCAAATGGGTTGATCCCTGATTTCATCAGCATGTTGGCAAGAACCAGATACTTAAGGCAGGTGGTCCTCCTAGAAAAAACAGAACCAATGGCATAGTAGACTTTGCTGTTAAACTTTTAATCTGCTTTCATATACATGCATGCAAGCACGCACTCGAGCGCACAGACACTATGCCACAAACATATTACAGCAATTATAATATATGAACAAACAATAGATTTAAAGAAATCATTAAATTTAGATCACCATAAAAAAATCATCATATCATGAAATGAGCTACATAAAATATTTTCAATGCACCCCAACCAAAAAATTTATCACTGTTCATATCAACTTACCTTGGACTTCCAGATTCATCGTAATTTTTGAATGCCTCAAAGAAATCTGTATGTGCTTTTTCATACTCTCCTTCACGTAGATGCATCTTCCCACCACATTCTGTAAAAGCAGGAATACACAGCCAATCAATATGCATTCATTTACAACCATACTGGTCACTGCATCCACTTAAATATCCAACAGTTCATCAAGGAGCAAAACTGGCATACCATTCTTTTTCATATGATGCAATATTTATAATGTTCTATGATTCTGCTAATAAACTGTTGTTTTTAAATCCATTACTTCCTTTTACATAAGCATAACCACTGCAATATAAGATGCATTTTCTTACCTCTTATCACTCCCATAATTAATGGATGTGGTATGGCAGATTTGATGTGTAAGGACTGTTCATATAAGGCCTATCATAAACAATGTTTTAAATAATAAGACATTTAATAATAGGGTTAAAAGCTGACATGAAATATGTAACAATTTTATTAGACAGACAGTATGGTATAGTGCTTATCACTAATTTGTGGAAGACGTCTACATTTTTTCTTTCTTTCTTTAAGCAAGTCAGATCTTTAAGGTAGCATAATTTTCAAATTTACTTTTTAATTGAAAAGAGCAATATGCAGCTTTTACATTTATATAATGACAGCCAAAGGCAAACCTTTAATTTTTTGTTATTTTTCTGTGCTGTATACATCTGGATCTCTAACGCATAGATCTCAAGTAATTGAGTGCCTTTCTTCAGATCATCCTCTCCCTCATCCGTCTGTTACAANTCTATTTTTTTTTTTTTTTTATAATCTCTTGAGAGATTATAACAGAGTATAGCCATCAGTGGAGGTCACGTGGTCTAAAGACAAGCTCAGATATCAGAATAATAGCTAAAATTGCCGTTTTTGTGGTACAACAGAATATATTGTATTTCTATGAGTTGTTCACAATATTTTTATTGTGAAATATAGATCTCATACGAAGAGTTATTATCCCTTTAAAGATAAATTTCCTAAATTGATGGGTTTCAGGGGTGGATCCAGGATTATTAGAAGGGGGGTCCGGAACGACAGACCTCGAACGCGAAGCCGATCATCGCCCCCTAGGCGTGGGGTTCATTGCCTGTTCAAGGGCCCCGAAAAAATTTTGATGTTTTTGAGAGCAGACGGTGCCCTTTGGTATGTTTAAGAACTATGATTCAGCTAAAATGTCTTATTCTAAGTTTCTTTTTTTTCTGTGAGCACAGTGTGTTGCTATATTTGTATAAAATATAATTTTGATGTATATTTATTAAAACTGAAACATACGGGGAATTTATTAAAATATTAATGACTCGTGTAATTTATCTTTTTGGGGTGAAAATAGGCCTAAGTCTGCAATTTTGCCACAAAGCGATTGTAATTTAGCATAAAATTTAAATGAATCAATATATTATAAATTTATAGTTAATAATTAAGTCATTAAATCAACAATGCAAGACTTAGATATTTTCCTTATTAAAGATTTATGTAGCATTCTCGATTGAAAGACCAAATCTGAGATGATCTCTAATGGACTAACTCCCATAGGTTAAGTTCTCTGCCAGAAAAGTGTCCATTATAAGGAAGCAGTGATAACTATGCAGGTAAATATTGTTTAATATTGCAAATAAGTTTAAAAAAAAATATTTTGTGTAATGCCAACATTAATGCTATAGATGAATAACAGTGCCTTAACTATTCTCAAACTCAATCGGGTTATTCATATCATGTTAATACAGCAAGATTGAAAGTTTGAATAGCAGCTTTATTGGAATTTTTTTTTTCAAACACTGGCATTTTCAAGATGTGGCTTTTAACTGCCATCCATTTGAACCTCTGCACATTTTCTGTATTTCCACATAAGCAGTTGTATTGGTATTTGTGTCTTTAAACATTATGTTATATTATTTTTTGCACTGTCATCATTTTTCAGAAATTGTGATTTTCATTATTTGAATTTGAACTCTCGTGGTCCTGAAACTGTAATCTTATTGCAGGGGCGGATTGAGACCGTCTTCTGGGCCTTCTGGAAGACGGTCAGATTTTAATGTTTACATTGACGGGTATCTATTTTTTTCTGTTGGAAGACCATCAAAAATGGAGGATGGATCAAGAAAGATTATTTCGAATAATGTCAGAAAATCTCTCTCCTGTTCACTCCTGTTATTGTCCATGTTATCTGTTGTTCATGATTAAAATTCAGTGTTGATTGACAGCATTATTTACTATTGCATCAAAACTGACAAAATGACCTATTTTCTGCATCTTTATTTTCTGTTTTTTGTCTGAACATTTGACAGCTTTGCTGCCTTGTTTTCAAAATCTGAAAGAAATGCCTCCTCAATAACCAAGAGTTCCTGTAGTTTTATACCTTAATTAGATTCTCATTTTCAAATCTCTGTCATACTGCATGCGGTACTAATATTCATTCTAACATCTGTGTGCAAGGGTCTAATCTATGAGGAGGGTACTCGAGTTCAATATAACAGGTCTCTACTCAAAAAGCCCAACCTAAACATCATTGATGTGTTCACAAAGAATTGTAGAACTGGTCTTGATGAGCTGTTAGTCTCATTTAGATGTTTTTTTTTTTAATATCTGGTGCCATGCTTCAAGATTCATGGCAATATTTAATGGGATAACAACTCTTTGTGTGAGATCTATATTTTACAATAAATATATTGTAAACAACTCATAGAAATATATTCTATTTTACTACAAAAACGGCAATTATAGCAATAAATATGAAATCTGTGCTTGCCATCCGACCACATGACCTCCATAGATGGCTATACAAGAGATTATTACAAAATAAAAATAAATAAATAAATAAAAACAATTTTAAAAATTTTTTAAGAATCTCTTTTTAGAAAAAAAAAAAAAAAAACAGGGACCAACTTTGAATGTAGAAATGGATTCATTAGCTATTGGTAAGTATGGGAAAATTGCTGTTCACCCTAGGAAAATTCATTTTTTGGCCAAAATGAACAGTTGTTATCCCTTTAAAATCTGCTACGCTAAAAATTATTTGATGTAAAATTTCTTTGGGGCAATTCACGATAATGCATAGCACTTAATTTTATCTCACCCTCCCAAAATCTTTAAAAACCTGGCTATACCATGTATATATCCCCTGTAAATTGATCAGTCTTTGCTGGCATATGCAAAAACTGTGCACACATTCATGATAAAGACGGATAGTCTTATTCAGGCCTTCCCAACTACCAGACTCGGCACCTACGGGTCCAGTATAAACCGGTTTATCTGACCACACTACCCGTTTTCAAGGTGTGTGTCAGATCGCATAAAAGAGTATCAGCCACCACACCGATTTTACCTGGTGCGCGATGTGATGGCGATGATCCTAGTAATAGATAGACCCCGAGTCAGCGAGGGTTATGTGGCATACACGAGTGCGAAGCACGAGTGGATGTCACATAACCCTCGCTGACGAGGGATCTATCTTATTTAGACCACGGGTCCATTAGCGGGTTATAACGCATTCATGCAAGACGTGCGGTTATGCGAGTTACACCACGTCTGAATCTTTTGTTCTTCACTTACACCGTGGTCTAAAGCGGGGTTGGAAAGTAGTGCATCTCATCTACATTCATGCGCTGCTGCAATTTTCCCTG